GGAGAGGAAGAAACTGAGTCTTGTTCACACACTTGAGCAGGTCCTGATGATATCCATTGTTTTACGATCTTATTTTAAATCCATGTCAAAACACTGAGTACAACTAAAATTAAACTGAGAAAAAATGACTATGTTTTACTTGGGATAATTATCACGTCTCTTGAAGAGAGAGGGCTGTTTAAATGTAGTTTAGTTGGTAATTTGGACCCTCAATTACAGTTCACTGCAATATAGTGTCTAACTGATAGTAGAGGGTAATGTCCCTGACTCTAAACATGGTTCTTCTGTCATGAGGTAGAGCAATGCACAGAAATCTTTACCAAAAATATTTTTCTTTGGAAGTACACTCTGTTTTTCTCAGTAGTATCATTGTATCTTAATCATATGTGTGATATGTACAGGAATTTATTGTATTTAGGGCTATAAGCCCAAGTTAGCTATTCAATAATATGGTAGAATAGATATTTAATTAGTTCTCTTTTAGTACAAAGCATCTAAAACTCTGGGAAAACATTGAAATGTTTTAGTGCATGACAGAGCTAATGGAATACTGAGAGAATTTCTCTGAGAATGTTCAAATCTATAAGCTGTGTGGGCAGTAGGTAGACAGTTGGCATTTTCAAGGGTGAGCACCCAATCCCAGTCAGCCTAGAGCTGTAGTTTAAGAAACCCAGGGATGAAGGCAGGAATCCTGGTATTGATCCAATGGGGGTGAGAAAAGATTTTTGCATAAAACAGGACCCCTCTGCTACATAGAGTAGCAGAGGGGATATGTTTTAATTTCCCAAACCTGGCAATACATGAGAAAATAAATACCTATCTTTATAAATCCCTCATGGGATTTATATCTGTAATTCATATCACTTGTATGACCCAAATTTTAAATTTAGTTGGATACAACCTGGTTAATACACTCCAGAGACATGGTAGAAGTAAGTTTCAATCTTCTTTAGAACTAATAAGTTTCCATGGAGCCCTAAAAATAATTCACAAATATTAAAACCTAAGTGAACAATTCACTAACAAGGGAAAAATCTTCCTGTGAAAACCAGCAACCAAGAATAAATAGAATTAGTCACATACTCTAGAATTTTCAATTCTAATTCATAGGTATCCAGAAATTGGTATTGAAAACATATTAAGAAAAAAAACACCAGGACTAACCAGGTATATTTGGGGGGAAAAAAAAAATCCAAGAAGGAAACACAGTAATTGAAATGAGTGATACAGTGAATGGATTAAATAGCAACTTAGTCATGGCTGAAGATAGGATAAATGAAATACAGAACTCGGCAACTTAACAATTAATGTAGTCCAGAGAGAGAAGATAGAATGTTTGAAAAGTAATACTGAAGATTAAGAGAGTGTGAAAAGGTCTAATGTATGCTTAGCTTGAGTTCTTATAGCACAAAATGGAGACCAACATGAAGACAGTTTTCAGTGGTATTTCTGAGACTTCTGATGATTTAAGCATTAAACTTCAGGTCTAGGAATGCCCATAAAGACTTATAACACTTATAACATCTTTATGAACTTCCGTAATACAGAAGACAAAGGGAAAACTTGAGAAGCATGCAGCAAGAACTAGAAAGCTAAGATGGCTGATGTCTTTCCAGACATAATGGAAGCTAGGAAACAATGGAATGGCATCTTTTTGCTACCTATAAACTTTCTGAAAGGTACATTTATAGAGTGTACTTCAGAGAGAGATTAACAATTTTATAAGGAATTATAAACTGAAAAGCAAATAGAGTTAAAAATGTATTTGTAAATTTTACCTTGGTTTATTGTTTAAAGTAGCAAAAGAAATGGGTAGTTTCTAGAGTTGAAAAAATTCTATTTTAGAAGTGTTATCATAAGTCATGTATCAAAAGATGGGTAACCAGAGTTAAAAGATTCTAAAGCCTATATTATTCGAGAATAGTTGAAAAAAAAAATGATGACCTTAAATTTCTTGATGTTAGATTGTCATCATCACATACTTAGGGAAGTCACAAAATATTGACTATATAACATCCAAATGAGTATAATGTAGGTGAAAAGACAGAAATGAACATGACTGTAGCAGCAGAAGCAACCAGTATAAATAGACTTTACTTTTGAGTTAAGTATAGTTATTCTAATGTGATTTTACTTGTTAATGTTATTGCAATTTAAAAATTACACATTCAAAAATGATAGGCAACATAGTTGGGGGGAAAATCTCTTCTGCTTATAAGTAAGATATTTAACTAATATGAATAAAGAATGTTTGAAAATAAAAGGAGCAAAAAGGGCCCAAATACCTCTGATTTAGAGCCATAGACTGTTGTAGATATTCATAAATAATTTGTTATACTGGGAAGATTTAATAATTCTATTCTAAATATAAATGTTAGCATAAAAAGCAAAAAAAAAGTTTATACAGTGAATAAGCTGGTCATAATGCATTTGCAAAGAACAACTAAGAATAGATAGTCTTTCAAGCAGATAGAACATTTATAAAGATTGATTAAATGCTTTGCCATTGGGTGAGGATCACAAAATTAAAACAGTTGGTTCATAAAGTTTTTATCACAAGGTAATCAAGCTATTGACTGATGTCAAAACATATAACCAAACATCTGCCTACATTTGAAACTTTTAAGTCAGACTTCTTGTGATCAGTATCACATGGGCCAAGGGTAAGGCAGAGCAGACTTAACAAATACAGAGATCCCTATGCTGCAACAGTACTTGCACTGAATAACAGTTTATATAGTGAAATATGAGAACATGGACTCATACATGGAATCTAACATTTGAAGAAAAATAACTTATACTGTGAAGTAATATGCAATAAAGACCTAAAGAAGAATCATAGTAATTGATAGATGTGGGGGGAAATTTGTAGTTTAGTTGGAGCTAATAAAACAAATATTTTCCCTTCTAAAATCTATTAACTTTTCTGATGATTTAAAGTGATACAACCAACTAGCAGAAGGGCAAGATAATTATTAAGACATCAATATTAAATGCTGTGTAGTACAACTTAAAATTGCCGTAAATAAGATTATCATTTTCCAAGTAACAAATATGGAAATGTATTTGCAACAGATTTAACAGAAAGGCAAGATAAATTTGTACAAACAAGAAGAAGGTTATTCAAAAAGCAAGAAATAGAAAAGGCTAATAAATATTTCAAAAGTTGTACAACACCAAGTTTAATCAGAGGGGAATAAAAATAAAGGGGTTTATATCCACAGGGGTTTGTTCATACATATTTTTTCTATTCTTTATGTTTTCATATTTCCTTATATGAGTCCATGTGCTCATATTTCACTGTATAAACTGTTAATCAGTGCAAATACTATTGGAGCATACACATCTCTGTATTTATAATTCTGCTCTGCCTTATTCCTTGGTCCATGCATATTTCTATTCTTCCTATTTCCAAGAGAAATTTAAGGTTTCTCTTACTCTACCATGAACAAAAATTAGATGTTTTGTACTAACAATTATCAATCTTGCAGTTCTTTTGAGGTTTAGTCACATTGCTTTTAACAATTTGACAGTATATTCTGTACTCTTTAATCTAGTAATATCTAGTAATTCTACTTGTTCGATTTTGTGCTGGCATATAAAATTTTACACAAACGTATACTCCACTTTGTTCTTCATAGCCTTGTTAATGTTAGTGGAATGCCAGGCAAATTTCTAGAAATCAAGGATTTGCTAAAGAACTTATGCATGCAGATACATACACTTCATTTGAAAATTATGTATAACCTCTTAAATGACTTATAGGAAGCTTCCCCTCAGTGCATAATTTCAGATATTTAGCAGCCATTGTCCCTAAAGAGAACAGTCACCACATGTGGCGAGGGATTTCTTTCTGTAGTCCAGAGACACCCCAACTCCTTGATCCTCACCCTGCTGCAGACTACAAACTGTATCATAAAGTGTGGAGTCTCTCATTTGTACAGGTTAGATTCATCCCAATTGCTTTACAATTCTGCTCAGTACATCAACGGAAATTTCTGCCATTTTTGGGTCAGGCGAGCTTATAAGTTCTTTCAGCTAAAAGACTTTTTTAGTCAAGAAACAAAGTTACTGTGGCAAAATAACAAAATCTTTCAGAGAAACAGAAGTCATCTTAGCTAAATTGTTAAAAAGCAGTAAAAAGGTGACAACGGTCGAAATAAATTTTGACAATATATTTTATTAAATATTTCAATATGCAATTGACTTAAAACAATTGCCATTTTTAAAATTAAGGTAAAAAACTGGTTTACAACACTGTACATGGTTTAGGGGTACAGGTTCACACCTTTCAAATGTGTGTTATCACACCACACTCACCACAAGGCACCTATAATTCTCCACCATAGACCACTGAGCCCCTTTACCCCTTTGCTCTTCACATCCCTTCCTTCCCCTCTCATAGCCCTGGTTTTGCGATAAGATTTCTAGGGTTGGTCTTGGTTTAATTGTATATGTTCTTGGCAGAACAATAATTAATATGATCTTGCATGTTCTTTTGGTTGTGTATGTAAAATCTTTGATGTATTTACAGCACATCCTATTTTAAAGGCTAAATTCTCATTGGAGATACTTGATCTATACTTCGATTTAAAAGCTAGATTTTCATAAATTTCCTAATGCTTTGGTTACTGGTTTTTCCATTAAGTGAAATAAAGGTTTGAAATGGGTTCACAGTAGCCACATTTCAAGTTCCCAATGGCCACTTAGTGGTGGTTACCATATAGGGCAGGAGATATTTAGAGAATGCAAAGAAACAGGCAGTTGATTTCAGTCTTCAAGGCTTTCTAGTTAGAAAAGCATGACGTCAAAAAATAAACATCAAGAATATAAATTGAAACAGAACATAGAGAAATGCAAAAGTTTGAAGTAGACTAAGTGCTACTAGGGTAGGAAATTCCAGAAACACCCACAGCTTGATACACTCTTCCCCGCCTGGAAGTTCGAGTGGTGGCAGTGACCTGTTGAGTTTGTGAGAAGTGTGTGTGATCTCCCTGCAGGCACGGGACGCGCTGTGCTGGAGAAGTGGCAGCCGCAGCGAACAACTCACACTGCACAGTTGGAATTGCTTTCAACGCCAAGATTGGAGGTACGGGGAACAAACTTACGTGGATTTAGAAAAAATCCAAGAGCTCTGTGCCGACCGGCTTTCAGAATACTTTTTGAACTAAGGACAGACCTAGGTTGGCATAATAGTGTTCAACTATTGCTGAAAGCAAAATGACCGTGTTAACATGTTATTTAATGCACTCAAAGGCTTCCAAAGCTGTACTCCTAAAATGCCATAAAAACACACATTTTTTTCTTTAAACAGATTTGAAAGTCTTGTCCAGTCATGAACATACAGTTGGTGACATCTGTACCAAACTATACAATGGATGCTTAGATCAGAAAGAAATAATATAAACACCAGAGTATAAAAAATAATTTTTCTTCTTTGACTTAGGCTTTACAGAATGTTCCTTTTGACTGCAATGAAAATGGTCTTCAGTCACATTTCCTTTTGTAGTTTCCTAATATCATGATACTAATGCCATTAATAATTTCAGGTCATGTATGGACATGCACAAACATGTACACACTGTCAATGCAGGCATTCATAGAAGCAAACTCTTACTTTCCTCTCTAGCTGTAGCCTGCAGCCAAGGCCACACACCAATGGGGAGAAAACATTGTAAGTGATGGAGTAGATCCCTGAGGCCAACTCCAGTCTCTCTGTAGATCCTTTGGGGGAAATACTGGGTATTTATTTAGATTATTTGTTTGCCCCCCAAAATAACATATATTTATAGGGTCACATAATTTCAAATGTCTCAGCCTAATATTTATATTTTTAGGTCAAGAAGAAAATATGGCAAAATGTTAATAGTTGTTGAATGTTAGCTGTATCAAAGTTCACTGTTATTCTCTTTATTTTGTATGTTTATAAGTTTCACCATTAAAATTTGAGTATTTTTTTAAAGCACAAAGAAGTTACAGTTCCTTCAAGATTCATTTTCTAAGTCTTTCCTTAACATAGTATCTAAAGCTGCCTGATTTAGGTTTTTTATTGTTTAATTCCAATTAAATGATAACCTACAAAAACTTGAAATCCAGTGAGATAACAAGGATTCCCTATGTTATAATTTTGGGCTGTAAAGATAAAAATTTGAAGTAGTCCGGTACTGAAGGAGAGATGTTTACTTAAAAACTGGATGTTATGTTACTCTTAGTTTCCAAAACAAAGGAAAAGTCTGCTGTGTGACATAATTTATTCTTGATATCTTAGTATCTTAATTTTTGCAAACTAAGGTTAATATTTCCATCTATCTGGTGGGAATATACTTAAATGAAGATTAATGACTAAACATTGCTAAAACCCTTTGAGAATGATTTGATGTGTAACATGCACAGAGTATTCTCATTTATTATTTCACTTATAAATAACTTGGCAAAGAAGTCGTATATTAAGTTCACATCAGTCTCACAGATTAGGAGATAATATTAAATATGGAGGAAATTAGACCAGCCTAACTTGGCAGCTTTCCAAATCTTGTAACTTGCTCAGGTCAGAATGTTTTATGCCAATTATGAGCACAAGTTATCTAATGAAGAGAAATTTAGGGAAGATGGATTGCTTGAGGTTCTCTTTATCACATGCTCACTTAAACAGGAATAGAAAGGAGAGAGAATCCAAAGTTAGAAAAAGGAAACAGTGGGTAAAGGTTTTGAAGAAGTGTTGCTCTTTCACCTGCAACATAGCTTCCTTTTCCCATGAAAGTTTCAATTAAATCTGCATTATCATTTTCTGGGGAGAACAGGCTCACTTTTGTGTTGATTAAAGGTTATTCTTTTAATCAGCTGTAACTGGAATTATCCTGGGCTGCTTGGTGTTACATAGCAAAACCTTGGTAGTAAAGCTACTTCCTCTTTCTGTCTTAAAGGAGTTCGAATGCTGGATGGAGATGTCACAGACATGGTTGAAGCGAAGTCAGTTAGCTTTAACCCCCAGCATGTGCATATTTACAGTGCGAGCTGGGGCCCAGATGATGATGGCAAGACTGTGGATGGACCCGCTCCACTCACCCGGCAAGCCTTTGAGAACGGTGTTAGGATGGTAGGTATTAGAAGCACATTGGCTCATACTTTGTCATCCAGTGATGATTCTCACATGAAGCATCTCTGAAACTGGGGGTTTTCTGTCCTCCAGTATAGAGGAATGGATGGAATCTCTAGGATGATGGAAAGAGGTGCTGAATATTTGAGATTGTATCTTGGCATTTGACCTGCAAATGAGTTAAGAGATGAAATGCTTCTGTTCTCCTTTGAGAACAGAAGTACATTTAGGTTTTTTCAAAGCAAGTGTACTTATCAATATATTAATGCATTTGGAGAAATAAATTCTTAGAGACGGAATTGAAGAGAAACAGAGGTATTGACATTCTTCTGTGAGTATTAATAAGTCATCCAACAACTTCCTCTGGGTATCTCCCTCTTGTAGATCCTTCTTTAGTTTTACTTTTGTCCCAGACAATATTATTTTCATTCTGGCTCCCAAGCTCCTTAATCACCTTAACCCAGCATCATTTTCCTTAATATCACTAAAAAATTTACAAAATACTCCTTCCCTCAGAACTCATTGCAAAATCTAATGCAGTAAAATGTCTGCTTTAAATTATAACTTTTTAAAAGATCTGTCTTACTTAAATTTTAAAACACATGTATATGTAGTCACAAAAGGAAGAGAGTACCAACCAGATGCAATGCCTTTCTCTTTTGAATGGGCCATTGGATGAGTTAAAGCATAAATTTTAATTGTGTTCATTATCGAGGCTCAACCTCTCTTTCCTCATCTCTGTTTACTTCTGGTATCATAAGCAGGCATACTCTAGTCTTAAGCTCCATCATCACAAACCTCTTTCTGTGGTGATCTCTGCCTGATTCTCATGTCCTATTACTATGCAGCCATATCTCATTTAACCTTTACGTTTAAGCTAAACTGTGGCCACTTCCCAGAAGCCTTCTCACTACCTAACATAGAATTAAGGATATATTACCCCCACCCTGAACTTGCTGAAGTTTATATTCTTGCTGGTGTATGTACAGTCTTTACCATACTGTACTTTTATCAGATTCTGTTTTGTGTATATCTTTCTCACTAAATTATAACTTCCCGGAGAGTAGAGCTGTGTTCTACCCACCTTAATGGGGCTCTGCAAATGCCATAGAGTACCTTGAGCTCTAGTGAGTACTCAGTTAATGTTTATTAGCTTTAATGTAATTTATTGGGAATTACTCTATCCTCAAGTAGTTATAGTTTCATTCCAGATTTGGAGCTGTGGAATTCATGCAGTTGATTAATGTCATGTTACAGCTGGAGTATAAATAATAATGATTCTTCTACCTTGGTAGGACTTAATCAGAAGACTAAGCTAAGTTGTCTCCTGGTTATTCCAAAAGAGACTGCAGGAAAGTGTGTGCATTTGATATGTATATACTTCTAACTAAAAGATAGATCAGGTTTCATTAAGACATACTTCCTAGCTCTGTGTACTTTCAACTACATCAGAACCCTTTTAAACAGTAGGATAATTTTTTAAATTATTGTCTAGAATTCCTTTCAAGGTGACTAAAAAACAAATTAAAATACTCTTAAGTAATCTGGTAATTACATTACCAAAACCCTGGATTGCAGGTTTCTATTATCCCTGAATGGTTTTTCAAGTTAAGTAAATCAAGATTAGTTCACATTTAATTTTCAACTTGTATGTGTATGGCTCTTAGTTGAATAAAGAGCAATCTGGAATTTCTCATTCATATAAACATATTAATAATACACATAGGCATAGGAATATATATTCAACAAGAGAATGGCCCATGTTCAAAAGCTGTCATTAAATCAAAAAATGTGGATCAATAGTTTCAAAGTTTTTTTTTTCTTTTTGCTAATGGATACCTTCCTTAACTAGAAGTTCAAGGTATAAAACAAATATAAAATGTGCTACTTTGGTTGAAGAAATACATAGTGATTAATATTAAAAACAGGGTCATCTGAGAAAGCTATTCTAACTTAGTGGAAGATTTAATTTAGAAATAAATAATTCACAAAAATTTACACTATACTCAATAATTATAAAATAACCTTTGCTTATTACTATAACTCACACTATAAAAATGAAATTAAAAATGGACTTCCCATTCACTTATCCATTTTTTTTTTTAAAGATTTATTTATTTGTACATACAGAACTGGGGTACAGGCCAGAGGTGCAGGGGCGGTGAGAGGCTTCACCAGAGACAGAGTGGGGAGCAGAACAGGCAGATCGACGAAGTACACTGCTGAGGGGAGCAGCGGGCGGGTCAGGAGAGGTCTGCCACGCCATGTGGTCACCTCCGGGGCAGGCGGGAATCGAACTCATGCGGAAGTGGCTTCAGATTCCCAGTGCAGTGCTTTAACCCGCTGCGCCACCAGGGAGGGCCTCACTTATCCATTTTTAATAGTGTAGGCTATGTCTTCCCATACTCCCACGAGTATCCATATACACATGTTTCTTCTTGATGCTATTGTCATGGAAAAGTGGACATCTCTCCAAGGCAGTCCTTTTGGATGGAATTCACCTATTTTAATATCCCTTAATTTTTGGAGTAAGGAGTTAGTGTCATTTATTCAACCTTCCACTGAGAATCTTTTAAGATTTTAAACTCGAAAGGGGGGAATTTAGTTTTAAAACGAGCCATTTACTTTTAGAATGAAGGCAGTAACAAATAATTCTATAAAAAAGCCAACTGTTATTTGACTGCTAGTGTTGTGTTACATCCAATTATAGAAAAGCAGGGTCACCATTTAAGTGTGACACCAACCAGAGAGGGGATTTATATGTGATACACACAGAGTCTGCCTTAGCCCAGGGCTGAGTTCAGGATCTTCACTTACTGCTCCCTGACCTGATGTAGATCAAAGCTGTTGTTTCATTGCCTCATCTAAGGTCGGGCCATGCTAGTACTTACTGCAGTGATGTAGTGAGTGTTTAGTGAATCCTTAATTTCTGCACACTGTAGATTACGGAGTAAATAAGATAGCTAAGTTTTATTTGTAATACAAAAAAGGTCTGTACATATTAGCAACAAGACAGAACACATATAAGCACAGGAACAATTGGAACTCTTTGAACTATGGGCAAGTGTTATGAGTGAAATAAAACTGATGACTGGGGGTGACAGGGAGTTCTTGAACAGGTGATGTGAGAATGGAGACATGCATGATAAGAAGCCAATCTAGTGACGAAATGTGGGAAGGGATGCTGTTTTGCACTTTAGGACCAATACTAACAGAAAGAGGATATTAGGCAGTGAGTTGGAGATGGTTTTTTGTTTTTGTTTTTTGTTTTTTTTTTTAACCAGGAGAGTATTTGCATTTTATTCTGTCACAAATAACGATTGAAGGTTTTCAGGAGAGTAGTGTCCAGATGAGGCACACAATTATAACTGCCTCTCCTGTGGAGACACTGGATTATATGTGAGGCAAGGGATGGGACAGCAAGAATGGGAGAAATGACTCAGGCAAGAGTTAATAATAAGTTAGACTAAGGTGACAGCAACTAGAGATTGGTAGCAGGTGCAGTCTAGTAGCAGTGATTTTCAGGGAGGAAATAAGTAAATTTTGCTCAGGGAGTCCAGGTATTGATTACATCCATGCCTTCTGTGTGCTAATCACAAAACATAGCAAATATTGGATTTCAAAATGCTTGCTATTTATTTACTATAAGAAACATTTGGTTCAGTAGAATGCAACACTGTTTTCAAAGACTTTAACGAAATCAGAATTGATTCCATTTAAAGCCCTTTAGAATTAATGTGCAAAAATTGCACTAGAGAATCTATGTTGAACAAACCATGTCACAGTTGACAACTTGCTCTTTCTCCCAGTGTTGCATTTTATTTGATGCCAATGAGCCATAAAATTAAATGAAAGAACTAGAAGTCTATCATTTGGGCTGCATATAGTTAACAGTATAGTAGTAATAGCAGTAATGCAACACCATTAATATAATCCAGTCACCCTTCTCAGCCATAAAATAGATAATATTTCATCTTAACAATAATCTCATGAGATAGATACTCTTCTCCTCAATTTCACATAAAATTGATAATTCGGTATGGATACAGATGTCAGAGTATAAGCCTCAAAGTAATCTTAATAAATTATTTTATGTGCTGTCAATCCTATTTTACTTGGCTCATTTCACCAGCTATCTTTAACTGTGAAGACTTACTCTAATTTTACTCCTGGTATGATGAGGAATTAATTGTTTGCTTTCTACCTGAGGCCACCTCTTCTACATTTTCACTGAACCCCATACCTTTCACCTCATCAAAGACATGGCTTCATCAATTCTCTTTTCCTTCAACATCAAAACTCCTCTCAGCTATATGATTGCCATCCATATACACGCATACTTTTTCACTCTCATATCAAAAGGAGGAAAATCCTCCTTTGTCCCCTATCCCCTTATCTCTTTCCAATTAGTGCCTCATTTCTCCTTGGAATAAACTCCCTTGAAAAATTGCCCATACTTGCCTTCGACAGCTCCGCCTTTCCATGATCTCTTAAAGACCCTAAGTCATTCCTTTACCCCATCAGTCCACGAGGGTTCTTGTTAAGATCACAGTGAAGCCCAGTGCTTTCCTCTGAAATGCCTCCTACCTTGTAAAGGTTTGCCTGATTCATCTCATTCACAGTGTAATACATACAACCAACCTTTCCAAGCTCCTTCTTAACAAATGACTCATCCTCCTTCTAATTACTACATTTACTGTCTTTTTATTATCTCCCCCATAAAGTCCCAGAATTTGACTGTCTTATTTGCCATGGTATCCCAATTACCAAAAACAGGGTCTGGTGCCTTTACTACTTTCTAAAGTCTATGGAATCTGCCCTCTCAATTTCACACTTTGAGCCAACTTCTCTCACATAAACTATATCATACTTCCAAAGCTTTCAGCGTCCCAACTTGAACTTCAACTCTCAATTCAGCATGAACACTGAAGCCAAAGCAGTATTTCTTCAAAATCAACTGTGTCATTTTTCTGCTCTTTAAAAATCATCACTGCTTCCTA